CTTCAAAGATAATGGCCTCAAGAAGAAATCCATGATGAGAAGTAGAACTTAGGTTCTTGCAGCAAGCTGTAGCTGGGAATTTTTAGTGGTTAAACCATGAACAAAAACCGAAAAGTGCCACTTCAAGAAAATTAAAGAATTGCAGAGTATGAAAATGTTCCACTCTACAAGTAGAAAAACACATTAACAACAAGACCTTTCTAAAGCATTAACCTCACAATTAAAAACAAAAACAGCTGCTGAAGACTCCTTATGTTCTCTCTTATAACCTAGTTTCTTCCAAGAGTAGGCTACCTTTTTTATCCTAATTTATACCTTGGATTCCTATTCCAAATCATTACAAGCTGGCTGCTCTTTCTTGGTTAAATGGCACCACCGTCCATTCAAGCCAGAAATCTCAGAGTTGTCCTCAATTCCAGCCTTTCCCCAACCTCACGTCATGATCACGCTGTCAGTTCAGCCTCTAAGCATCACTAGAACTTGTCCTCTCCTGCCACTGCCTTAGTTCAAATCCTCATTACCTCTCGTGAGCTTCACTGCTCCAACCTATTAAACATCCTCTTGACTCCAGATTTGTTCCCCTCAACCTCTACTGCATTTTCTTCCTTCTGCTTCTAGGGTCATCTTTCTGAAATGTAAACCCTATCTGAATCCCCAACAGAAAAATCTTCCAAAAGAACCTCCCATTTTCCTTCAGGATTAACATCATGCTGAACATGGAATGAAAGGGCCTCAGCAATCTGCCTTGTACCAAACAAAACTTTCAAGCTAAACTCCCCTGGAACCCCTTCACTCCATTCTCATTAACCAGCAAGCTCGCTCAGGATTAGCTCTGGGACCTCCTGTCCTCCCCATTCTTGCCCCACTCCTCCCCTGCTTAGGTGAATCATCTTACTCATTCTTTATGATACAGCTCGAAGACCATCTCCTCTGGGAATCTTGGAAGTATTCTAGGTCCTCTGAACCCCATTAGCCATTGCTCTATGACAGTGCTCATCACACTGTATCACAATCACAGAATCACTGAGCCTTTGTCTGTTTACTCCATGCATCTATGCAACCCTTGAGGGGGATGGTCTACATTTCCCACATCTCTGAATCATCATCCCTAGTGAAGAGCCTTAGGATCAGTGATGCCAGAAACAAGTGATGACACAGAAGTCTGTCATATCTTACATCATCAAGCATCATCACGTTATTACAGCATCCTGCTTTGTTTTTCCCACAACTGGTTTTCTTTGAATTATAAGATGGTATCAAACATATCTCCCAATTTCAGAGATATTAAAGATGAAATATTGTAGTCTATGAAATACAGCATATTAACTTAAGTAACATGATCATAAAAACTTTATGTACTTAGTCAACAGACTAGAAAAGCATTTTAGCAGTTGAAGTGTTAAAAAATAAACCAAACAACTCTTAAATGAAGGGAACACGTTTACATTACCTTAAAATATTACAATATTTTTTCTTTAAAATGGTAATTGAGGAATTGTTCTATATCCTAATTGTGGTAGTCTGAACACAAATCTCTATTAAAATTCATAGAACTTTAAAATAAAATTAAAGCTATGGAAAATATTTCTAAACATCCATTAAATACGCCTGCCTTCTTAGACCCATCCCCCCAACTCTCCATTCACCAAGCCTGGATTCCACCTTCCCAGACCCCACTAGTACCCAAAGAGGATGCTTATTTCTCCTCTGACACTCTCCATTTCATGATCGGTGACTTTCAAATCTGAGCTAACCTCTCTCCAGGCACACCTGCCCACTCTATGTTCCCGCCTGAGACATATGTTCCAGCCATTTCTCTCCCAGACCAGTGGCTGCTTAAGCCCAGACTCTCCCCGCTCTCATCCTCTTCCCACCTCACCCCATCAACTGTCCACCTCTTGTCCACCATACCCTGTGAAATCTAGGCTCTATTGGATTAAGGAGGGGAAAAAGAGAAGAGGGTTCACCTTGTGTCCTGACACTTTTATTTACCTCTTCCCCAGGGCAGATAGGGTCGCGCCTGAACATACTAAGACACTGAACCCTGAAATAATCAGATTTCCCTTAAAACAAACAAACAAACAAACAAACAAGCCTCAATATTGGGGCAGCGGGCAGGAGAGTTAGACAAATCTTGCAAGAAGCTTGAAAGTGTCATCAGTGCACAATTTCAGCTGTTTGTAAACAACCCACTGTATCCTAGAAATTTCCAAGCATGCTCCATTTATTTGTCAGTGTCCAAAGGAATCTGAGCATAATTGTAAGACAGTCCATCTTCTCCGATCTATCAACTAAATGCAAGGAATAGACAGATATTTCTCTCCACAGTGTTTTAGGCCATCCATCAATGAATATATATCTAACATGTGGCAATAAACTATATCTGCATGTTTCATATATTAAGTACGTGAGTGCTAGAAGGAATTCTAGTGATACTCCATTTCGCTAATCAGAAAATGGAAGCACAGGAAACTACAACCTAGTAATACTTAGAAGACAAGCATGGAAGATGATCTTCAAAAAGACAAATTCCTACAAAGTACACACTAATCCCAAATGGAATGCCTCATAGGTCTACTGATTTTTCATTACACAACTGATGTGCAGTCAAACCTATGGGGGAAAAAATCATTTTAGGAAGTTGAGGGAGTTAAGCAGGGTTGCTGACAAGATGTGGGACTGATAAAGATCCACAAGGAAAAGAAGTGTGTACTTGAGTACGTGACCTTATATAGGAATACCTCATGGGTAAGTGGTAATAAGTATGTAATAAGTTTGGTTGTCACTTACCTGTATGACGTCAAGGACATTTCAGTATTTCTTACAAAACATCAGAGTTTTCCCCATTAACCTCTAGGTGGCAAATCTGTGTTCAGGACCTAAATTCAGTTTTCCCATGTTGCACTCCAAGAACATGCAAATGGAAGAAGTCAAGGGGGATGAAACTGAGTTTAAGGCATTCCAGAATCATGGAGAGCTTGCAGACAATTTGAAGCTGTTCTCTGCCACTACTGGGAACAGAATATGTGCTATTTCATTAGTCTTTACCCCATTCTCTATTCTGTCTCTCAAGATTCCCTTCACATTCAATTTTCTTCCTGTCAATGCAAATTCTGTTTCTAACTCAGGGCCCTGTTTAACTCCCACCTACATCCCCAAAGTTCTTTGGGAAACTCTACCTATTTATTACCTTTCTCCCTTCTGAACACCAAGTTCCACTTTTCTCAAAAGTAGCACTCAAACTTGTGCTAAATTTTGATTTTTGTGGGTTTCTTTCAACTTTTATTATATAATGTTTATTGTTGAAAAATTAGAAAACATAAATAAGCCAAAAAAAAGTCATCACCCAGAGACATTTACATACATATCCTTCAGACACGTTTGTGTGTTTTTACAAAAACAGCAGCACTCTGAATCTTCACATAATAATGCCATCATTCCATGTCAATGCTCTCCAATGAAACCATTTAATGATTACTTTAATATTTCACTTTAAGCACATGATACAAAGTACTTAACAAAACTTCTATTCTTATAAACATGGGTGGTTTCCTATTTTAGGCTATTATAAGCAATCTTGCAATGAAAATACTTTCTTAAAAGACATTTATGTGTGTACTTGTCTAATGGTTTCCTTGGGATAAATTATTAGAAATGAAATTGCTAAGCCAAAAGGCACAGAGCCCATCACCATCCTTTTCAGGTCTTTTTATTCATATTGCCAACTTATCCTCCAAAAAGGTTATTCCACTTTACTCTCCTTTTTATTTATGCATCATTCAAAAAATATTTATTTTGTGCTTACTTTGTGCTAGGCACTATTGACACAATCGTAATTAACATAACAGACATAGTCCCTGCCCTCATGGAGCTTACAATCTAAAGGAAGAGGTAGATAACAAAACCCACAATATCACAAATTCTTCATTATAAGCTGAGGTAAGCTAAGAAGGAAAAAGCACATTCAAAGATCACAGAAATTTTAGAAGAACTTGATTTAGCCTAAAGGGCCTGGAAGAGTTTCCACAGGAAGAATGGTTCTGAGCTGGGGCTAAGGTTTTCTGTTGTGAATGAGGTGAAACCAACTTGTGGAGAATTTTGAGTTAAATATTCTAGGCAGAGGGAGCAGCATGGACAAGGCCCCTGAAAAGGGGAGGAACACGACCCATTTAAAAAAATGTAATTAAGCAGCTAACTGTGGCTGAGGCACAGAGGTGGTGGAAAGAGTAAGGCAGAGGCTGGACCACACAAACCCTCCAGCAACAGTAGCAGCTGGCTTCCTCCACTCTCACCAACTGGTAAAGTCACAGGGCAATCAAAACCTAAAGAACTCACAACTGAATAATGACACAATAAACGGTAAATCAGAAAAATTGATGTAAATAAAACTTAACTTGAATCAGGAATGCATTTTCAATGTGTTCCAGAACTTTCAAGCATACAATGTCATATATTTCAAATAATATAATTAGCTAAATATGACAGTTTAATAGTTGTCTAAAATATCTGCATGCTCCTGAAAAGCAAATCACATGAAAAATTTCTTGACTTTAACATATAATATGCTAAGACTAAGTCAATTAAAAAGTTTTTAAGTTTGTCAAAGAAATTTTATAACCATATTTAATCCGAAATATATAAATGTGATTTAAAGTCCTACTCTGGAGAAAAAGGTGCTCCACTGACTTACAAAGACTTTAATTAAGCAAATTTTCTTTATTCCAACTTAGATCTTTTTTTTTTAGTTTATTTATTTGTTTGTTTATTTATTTTTTAAGAGAGAGTGAGAGAGAGAGCACAAGCTGGGGAAGGAGGGAGAGAAGCAGAGACAGAATCCCAAGCAGGTTCCACACCATCAGCACAGAGCCTGATATGGGGCTTGAACTCACAAACTGAGTACATGACCTGAGCCAAAATCAAGAGTCAAGATACTTAATGGACTGAGCCACCCCAGAGCCCCTCCAACTTAGACTTTCTTATAGAGATCATCTTCCAAATAATTAACAGTTAAAATCAGTGTTTTAATATCTTTTAAACAATCAAGTTTTAAAAGACATCAAGTATTCTTTTTGCAGTGTTTTAATCCATGTAGATATGCATAATTTCAAGGATACTGCTTAGTAATTAATTAGATTGTAAGAAAAAACTCTAGCACAAAATTACATCTCTAAGTGATCAGGGTCCTGAGTAATGGAGATACAAAGAAGTTCAAAAGGGTCACTGCTCATCAACCTCTCATAACTAAAGAGAGCAGAATTCAATCTGCTATTTGTGAAAATGAAAAGACTGCATAAAAAATATCTTTCAAATATTCCCTATCAAAATAGGGAATGCCTATGAACATGCCATTGTTTATTCTGTATAAAATATCCCTTCTACCCCTCAAAACCCTTTTTTTTTTTTTGCTTTAAGATCTAAAGATGCTTCTTCTGAAAATTATCTCAATACAAGATCCAAGTTTTCCACTATTTACTGTCCTCACTAAAGTTCACCTGTATATACCAGAGAAACTTTCTAAACCTCACTGTTGATTAGCCCATTCCAAAGTAGAATTCTTCAGCAATACACAATTCATAAGACAGAGGCCAAAACAGTCATCACAAATATACTTTGAAATAGGTATTTTTGAAATATAAATATAAAAACTTTCCACACCATTATTTTTCCTAATGATTAATCTCTAGATTTAAAAAAAAAATAGAAGTTTTCAAACCAATGATGTGTGCAGCCCATCTCATGACACAGTCATTTAAGCTTCTCATCTGCAAAACACAATGCAGTAAGTTACCAAAAAGGAGAAAGAAAACACAGGAGGTCTCAACTGGTTTACAAAATAAAAACCATAAGCATTACAAAACATGTAGTGCCAAATATTAAAGGCTGCACACTTTGCTGAATATCTCTTAACTCCTCTTGATTGTAAAAGTAACATAAGATCAATGTAGAAAATCTGGAAAATATGGATAAAGGAAAATGTATGCCTGTAACCTTACCATTCAAATGGAATTGTTAGTATTTGGGGTTTTTCCTTTCAGTATTTCTTCTATCATATACAAGTAAGTAAGTAAGAAATACACATGCCTGCATACTTTTTCTTTAACAAAACTGGATATTATGTTTGCATTTTAATCTTTTGTCTACTTAACATGTGGTAGGGTAGGTATCTCTGACTTGGTGCACAGACAGAAAAAAAGTCATCCTGACTTTTAAATTCTTTCTAAAACATGATTTTAACAACATATTATATGGATGTGTCATAATTTATTTAACCATTTCCCTACCTTGGGACATTCATGTTTTTTCCAACTGTTTGATATAACAAACAAGACTGTCATAAAGACATTTAAAACCTGTAATAGCTTTGATTATATTCTCAAGATGTATTTCAAGAAGTAGAATTACTATGTTAAAAGGTAATTTGAGGGGCGCCTGGGTGGCGCAGTCGGTTAAGCGTCCGACTTCAGCCAGGTCACGATCTCGCGCTCCGTGAGTTCGAGCCCCGCGTCGGGCTCTGGGCTGATGGCTCAGAGCCTGGAGCCTGTTTCTGATTCTGTGTCTCCCTCTCTCTCTGCCCCTCCCCCGTTCATGCTCTGTCTCTCTGTGTCCCAAAAAAAATAAATAAACGTTAAAAAAAAAAAAAAAAAAAGGTAATTTGAAATGGCCAAGAATCACCTCCTTAAAAGACAGCTTTGTTCTACAAGATTTTAAGCTATACAAAATTCACAAAACTTATAATTACATGGCATATGTTTATAAGTACATTTTTTAAATCATAAAAATTTTAATATCTAAAAAATCAGAAATTATAGTAACAGGAAATAGAATCAGTTATGTTTTAGCATTCACTTGTGGAAAAAATTAACTTAAACACCACACTATATACTTAATCTGTTCTAAATGAGAAGACACAGAATGTTAGTAGCAGAAGATGAAAAATTATCTCAACTAGTTAAGAAAAAGACAACATCAGAGAGAATGGAAGGGTAAGCCCAGAATAGGAGCTTAGGACAAAGACCTTTCCTCCAATAAATGACAAATACTACAAGTCTCTCTCTCTCTCTCTCTCTCTCTCCCAGAAAGCAATTTAAAGCCCAATTCTTCTTATCCCCCTTCATTTTAACCCTTGACATTGACCCTATTTAAATTTTCTGAACAAGTAAGAATTTTGTTACACTAGTTCCACAGATAATTTCTAGCTCTCAAATCTCAAGAAGACTAATTTCTTAAAAGTCCAAACCTCATACTTTGAAATAAAATGCTAATGTTTGAGATTTGCAAAAGAAAGACAACTTTTCTCTTTTAATACTTACTCAGCATGAGAAAGTTTTACTTCTTCCCTTTGTCTTGCAGAATAATTTAGGTTCCCCCCTAAAACACAAATAAGCACAGAACCTTTTCTATAAAACTACTAAAATTAAAATTCAAACATTCACACACACACACACACACACACACACACACACACACCCCACATTTACATTAGTATACCTTAAAGTAACACAAAAGGCTACAGAAGATGAGAAAGAAATAGTTTATCTCCTGGAACCTTCCCAAGGGGGGGCAGGGGTGGAATGTACTTTAAGAATCTTTATATGATACAAATACAAATAATCACTGTATAATGTGAGCTTTGTTTTTTTTAAGCTTGGACTTACGTATTTCATTACATCGTGTTAACTGGGACATTGTATTAATTAATATTCAATAATAGCGAAAACTAAGAGAAACTAAAGGAAATGACCTAAAATAATTTAATTAGCAAGTACACACATTTTTCTAGGTACATAACAACCTTTCAGGGCAAGCAAGTTAGAAAAATTAATAAAGGTAACATCAAAACCTTATAAAAAACAAAGAAAATGGGGTGCCTGCGTGGCTCAGTCAGTTAAGCGTACAACTTCGGCTTAGGTCATGATCTCAAGGTTCGTGAGTTCCAGCCCTGCATTGGGCTCTGTGCTGACAGCTCCTGCCTGGAGCCTGCTTTGGATTCTGTCTCCCTCTCTCTGTCCCTCCCCTGCTCACTCTCTCTCACTCTCTCTCTCTCTCCAAAATAAATAAACATTAAAAAAATTTTTTTAAAGAAGTACAAATGCATATAGAAGATACAGCAAAAGAAAAATTGTGTAACACCTCATTCTCTATCAAACACTTTAAACCTTAAAATGCAAACTGTAGCTATAAATATGTGTACTTTTTTAAAATATGAGACAATAACACAATAATGGCTTTAAGTTACTTTAAAAATGCCATACTTTTTTTATGCTAACATAAAAAAGAACATCTAAAATGTTATATTACAAAACTTAAACTGGCCAGAAAGAAAATGACAACAATTTTAATAAATCTGAAGTTCCAGAACACATAATTATATGTTAAATAATGAATTGTGTTTCTATCACTACGAATGGAATGTCATTATTACATAACTAAAGCACTGGGCTCTAAAGAGGCATGTAGACAATCCAGGGACCCCACAAGATGATCCACGGTGGTTTAAGAAGAAAATGTCTGAATTCTACTTACCTCGAGCACGATTCACCACATAGAGTAAGACCACAGATAAAAGTGACACTGAAAGTGGAAAAAAACAGGTCCTTAAAAAACATGTACTTCTTCCCAATGATTCCTATGTAATCATAATTACAAAGTAAAACTTAGAGAAATCTTTACTGACCGGCATTTAAAAATACAAACACTACTGGGGTACCTGGGTGGCTCAGTCAGTTAAGCGTCGGACTCTTAATTTCAGCTCAGGTCATGATCTCAAGGTCATAATATTGAGCACCATATTGGTGCTGAGATTCTTTCTCTCCCTCTCCCTCTGCCTCTCCCCTCCCCCCATACTCCCTACCCCACACATGCATTCATACTCTCTCTCAAAATAATAATAATAAAAAAAAACACTATTCACATTAGTTTTCAAAAATCACTAAAAATTATTTACACACCATTTTTTCCCATGGGCTACATGAGACCAGGCATGGCAGGCCAGAAACAAAGAAGCTGAGACAGAAGGGGCTGATCTACCCACAGATCATCCTGTAGCTCTTTCCTCTCCCTTTTAAGTGGTAGTCCTTCCTTACACTTCCAAAAAGTCCTGCCAGCACCCTACTTATCTTTTTACAGAGAACCAAACAGAAGTAATCCTTCTAGTCTGAAAACATCATATCCATTTTACAAATTCACCAAACATGAGAACGAGGTCATTTGAATCCCAGAAGCCCAGAGCCAGGGAAAACCTCAGAAAGTCAGGACTTGGCTTTTTACCTTAACAGGTGAGGCACACTTTGTTTACTTTAAGTTAATATGGCAACAAAAACATTTTTAAATGGCATGGTGTCAGGTTTGAGAATCAAATATATGTGGAATTGTGGACTGAAATTAAACCACATGTTGCAGCATCAAAAACAGACAAAAATACTTTCATTACCTAGTTGTGAATTCTGTATCATCTACTTTTTAAAAACAAATAATACATCTTTAAAATATGGTGTGCTTACTCTATGAGTATGAGATAATATAATACAGGCTTTGCATAACAATTATCTACAAATACCACATTTCAAGTATAAATTGTCTTTAATCCCTGTAAATGAGGTCTGATAAAAATCATCACTAGGGTTTGCCAATTAAACATATGTTAAAGCATAATGGATGGATAAAGAAGATGTGGTTTATATATACAATGGAATACTACTTGGCAATGAGAAAGAATGAAATCATGCCATTTGCAGTAATGTGGATGGAACTGGAGGGTGTTATGCTAAGTGAAATAAGTCAGTCAGAAAAAGACAGATACCATATGTTTTCACTCATATGTGGATCTTGAGAAATTTAACAGTAGACCATGGCGGGGGGTGGTAAGGGGAAAAAAAAGTTACAGAGAGGGAGGGAGGCAAACCATAAGAGACTCGTAAATACTGAGAACAAACTGAGCGTTGATGGGGGTGGGGGAGAGGGGAAAGTGGGTGATGGGCATTGAGGAGGGCACCTGTTGGGATGAGCACTGGGTGTTGTATGGAAACCAATTTGACAATAAATTATATTAAAAAAAACAGAAATGTCATGATGAAAAAAATAAAGAAAGCATAATAGACAACTTGGTATGTTATATAAGAACTTTTTTCAGGTAAATACAACTATATGTATGGTGAAGCCTACCACAGGAAAAATACTAGTTTATTTTTGTAGTTTTCAACAGTTTCCTAGTATTTCCTATTTTTAACGAATAAATCATTACAGGTAAAAATTAAATTATAAGACTAAGAATAAAAGTAATTAAAAGCTGCCTAATGAATAAACCATGAGCACTCACACCTAAATCATACCAAATTCTATATATTCACACCAGGAACATACCTGGCACCCTTTAAATGGTTCCACTTCAAAGAGGATAATGTTTCCTAAAAACTGTATTTAAAACAGAATATGAAGCAAATTCCACTACTACTTTTAAAAATAGGCATCTCCTTAAAAAATGCTTGGGAATCCTCATAGAACTAGAAAACCACTGGCTGGAAAACTTCGATGTACTGACTAAGAAATAGGCAAATCTGAGAGGTACATTTTAGGGATTTGGTTTAAAAGAGGGAAAATGAGAACAAGAACAACAAAAACCTAAAAGTATAAATAAAACATTCTGCTACACTTTATAAGAAACTAAATGTTGCCACATCACACTTACAAGACACACAGGCAATGAAGAAAACTTCTAAAAACAAATATCCCCGAGTATCCAATATCATGCCAGCAATAATGGAAATGATCGCCAACCCAAGATTCTGAATGGACTGCATGCTACAATTCAAGAAATATAAAAACACATTTCAATTTAGAAAGTCTTCACACACAGAATAACAATTCACTTTAAACATTAGTATCTATAAACGACATACTATTAGTGTCAAAAGATGTTTTCAACCAGGAACGACCTGATTAGAATTGTTTTTTATCCCATGACTGTTTCTGCTACTAGATGTTATGCTCAAAGGTAAGGGAGCCTGTCTTATTAAGTGAAGTATGAACTCAATACTTTCCTGCTGAATGAAAGAAAGAGCTAAGTGAATACCAACACGGGTGCAGTTTCCCCCTTCTGCTTTTTGGGCCAGAGACCAGGCCTCAATTTCTCACTCAGAAGGCCTCAGATAAACAGGCAGCCAATGTCAATGTCAGAAATCACTTCTAATGGGTTAGCTTAACTCCAGCTTTCTTGTGGAGGCTTGGAGCATTTCTGTTGCCACAATATCACCCATAGATTACACCAACTTCTCCAGTGATTTCCAGGTTCAGAGCTGTCCCAGAAGCCTGAAGGTGACTGGATTCAGGAGACGTAGAGTTTTACACGATAATTAAATCGATACAGCAGAGAGAGACATTATGGTGCAAACACTTACAAGCCATATGCGGTTCCTAGCTGATGTTCAGGAACTACAAACGCCACCATTGGCCACAATGCACAGGCAAGTAACGAATAGGAGATTCCCAGGAGACACTGTAGAAAGCAATACCAAAAAGGAAAAAAGCTTAACATTAACCAAAAGGTGATTTTCCTTTGATGCAGATTAGCTAGAGTGACTTAACAGCAAATATATCAACATTCATACAAAATTTATTGCAATTATGCTAAAATTCACATTTGATACACACACACACACACACACACACACACACACACACACAGTCTTAACCATTTTATATTACATACCTATATAACTGACTGGGCCCAGAGTACAATTAAGGAGTAAATAAGAAAATAAAGGTAAATTGCAAAAAATTATTACCAATGTTTCAGGCAAGCTAATTTTCCAGTACTGATTAATTACAAATTAAGCAATCAAGGCAACATCACACCAACAATCCATTATCTTACCTCTGGGTAACCAACACCTAACTGAACGGCATGGCAGAGAACTATCTATCACCTAATGCAGACTTTTCTTTAGTTAAAAAGAAACCTTATGATTTAAGTTTAAATAAGATCACCTAAACCTATCATACTGGCAAAGATTAAAACATGGCCAGCACCCAACATGGCTAGGATACTAAAAAACACACACATTTGTGTATTATTGGTAAAGCTATAAATGGGTAAAAACTTTTTAGATAAGTTTCATGATGTCTATCAAGATGTCACATGCACAAATCCTCTGTTACAGCATTTCAACTTTCAAGAATCTGTCCTATGGAAATCTCACTAAGAGTGCAAACGTATACACTCATTAAGCCTGTGGTCTTTAAAATGACATTCTGGGGTGCGTGGGTGGCTCAGTTGGTTAAGTGTCCAACTTCAGCTCAGGTCATGATCTCACAGTTCATGGGTTCAAGCTCTGCGTCGGGCTCTGTGCTGACAGCTCAGAGCCTGGAGCCTGCTTCAGATTCTGTGTCTCCCTCTCTCTCTGCCCCTCCTATGCTCATGCTCATGCTCTGTCTCTCAATAATAAATAAAAGTTAAAAAAAAAAAGTTTTAAAATGACATTCTAAGGAACAATAACAAAAATCTGATGAATTCGTTGTCACTTTTTAACCTTCTAGGAGTTAAAGACAAAAGAATGCAAAATCATGAATCCTGGGCTGATAGGTTTTTTGTATGTTTCTTTGTTTTTTTCCCACCTATGATGAAAGTACAGAAAAATAAATGAAACTAATACGCATTTTGGCTTTTATAAGACTACTTTATTTCAAATTCGATTTCAGCATTGAGATTACTGTTAAATAAGCCAAATAAATTTAAAATACCTTATGCATTAATAATTAATATTTACTTTAAAAATAGTTATTTTGTAGAAATTAAAATAAAGGCATGTTTTTTCTCACTGTCACAAGCTCTGCTATCAGAAGAGCTGAGTGTGGCTCCGGACCTGCACTCTACAGAGTCTTCCCTAAAGCCCTGATCCCCACAAACATCAACAATGATATTACCATAGCAATCCAAGGATTCCACAGCGTGAAGGCCAGCAAGATGTGGGCAGCAAGAGTGGTAACCACTGCACACAAAACCCAGATGATGTTCTTCCCTGTTTTATCCACCAGGAGCCCAAATATTGGGGACATCGGAGCTGATATGACATACACAATACTGTCCAGAGAATATAAAAGATATTTAATGAAATATATCACATCCAGAAAGTCCCTAAAATCACTAGACAAAGCAAATCCTAGCTCATTTTATTTAGCATTCTTCTAAAATGGTCATCAACAAACAGAAATTTAAAGATATAAAGGGTGGTCCAAGATTTCTTTGGTTTTCCATTAATGCAAAGATGGCCTCTCAGGATCAAGTACCAATATAATCTTGGTTTCACACTATGGATGTTAAGTCGCATGTCTTTTTTATCTATTAGGACATTTGGTTATAATTATAGACCCACACTAAACACACAATAAGCACTTACAGAATTAATGAAATACCTGTTAACAGCACTTGCTGCCTGGGGAGAAAATCCAAATTTCTCTGTAAAGAAAACTCTAAAATAAAAGAGAGAGAGACAGAAATAAGCACTTTAGAGTGAACTATTGTTTATAATTAAACTAAATAAAAACTCAAGTTTAGTCAACTTTTCCTTCTTTTTTTTTTAATTTTTTTTTTAATTTTTTTTTAACGTTTATTTATTTTTGAGACAGAGAGAGACAGAGCATGAACAGGGAGGGGCAGAGAGAGAGGGAGACACAGAATCTGAAACAGGCTCCAGGCTCTGAGCTGTCAGCACAGAGCCCAATGCGGGGCTCGAACTCACGGACCGTGAGATCATGACCTGAGCCAAAGTCGGACGCTTAATCGACCGAACCACCCAGGTGCCCCAACTTTTCCTTCTTGATACTACTTTCCCATCTTATTTAACATTCATCTTCAAGCAACTGGAGCTAAAGCTTTAGTATTTATATAAATACTTCACTAACTAAATAAAATATATTGATGTCAATTTTTTTCATTTTATTTTATTTACTTCTTTTTTTTAAGTGTATTTATTTATTTTGAGAGAGAGAACCAGTGGAGGAGGGGCAGAGAAAGAGGGGGAGACAGAGGATCCGAAGCAGGTTCTGTGCTCACAGTAGAGAACTCCCGAACTGAGAGATCGTGATCTGAGCCGAAGTCAGATACCTAACTGACTGAGCTACACAGGCGCTCCATTTTGTTTTCATTACTTTTATTTGAAAAAATGTTTTTAATGTTTATTTTATTTTTGAGAGAGAGAGACAGAGCATGAGCTGGGGAGGGGCAGGAGAGAGGGAGACACATAATCCAAAGCAGGCTCCAGGCTCTGAGCTGTCAGCACAGAGCCCAATGCAGGGCTCAAACCCACAGACTGGGAGATCATGACCTGAGTGGGAGTCAGACGCTTAACCCAACTGAGCCGCCCAGGCGCCCCCAATTGTTTTCATTTTAAAAATACAGCAAACAGTACACATAAGTTTTCAGAAAATCAACTGTATTACTACATGATATTAAGAGTGCTTCTTTCCCTTAAAGTAGGACCGGATAGGTTCTTTGCAAAATAATGTATGTGACTTTGTGTCAAAGTCACAGACAGTCTCAATTTAAAGGTTCTGATTACAAAGACACTCAGTACATATACACTCATACACTGCTCTGTTTAAGCAGCTGCCAATGGAAAGGGAGAGGCAGGTGACAGAGCAAAAAAGAATGATTTTGAACCCTGGTATAATTATAATCCTAGCAAATGGAAATGTGCCCAGGCACAATGAGCCAAAGTACTGTTTCCATTTTCAAGAAAAAGCTTCCAAACAAAGGAATAAAGAGGAAATAAAAAAGAATGCTAGTCCAATATAAAGCATTAAAATAAAGCTGTATTATGAATCAAAAACTATTATTAGGTATTTCATCAAAAAAATAATTAAAACTATTAAGCCAAATACTAAATCTTAAAGCAAAGAAAATCAGTTGTATGCCAGGATGTAAAACAATTCCTGTGTAAATATAAACTGTAACTGGAAAAGCAAGATTCATAGCTAAAAAAATTACATTTATGTGATTAAATTCTCATTATAATTTAGCCAACAAAAATGGAACCCTAGGGAATACTCACTTCCCAAGTCCAATGAAAGGGAAGACTGCCACGTAATAGCAGACACAGATGATAAATATCAGCCACAGGGGTAAGGAGAAGTCCTTCACATCAGTTAACTTAATAACTTCACCTTAAAAAGAAAAGGAAGAAACTATCAGCATAATTTTGCATATCTAGGTCAAGATTATTTTTCTTTTATCATGTGATAAACCTTTACCATTCAGTTTACAAAATACTTTTCTCAGTAAATTACTGGAACATAGTTTCTGGGAAAACTTAAAAAGACATTAGAAAAAGCAAAATCTAAGATTAGTGTCTACTTTCCTGCTCCCCTTCAAGAACACTCATCATTTTGCATTTAAATACAAGAATGTAAATGCTGTCAATGCTTAAGGGGAAAAAAATGTACCCCAAAATTTAGACAAGTAGAAATAGGTTGGGAAATAAAAGATTGAAAAAAAAAAAAAAAAACATGTATTAAGCCTCACTGGGATATAACACTACATTAGGAACTTATCTCATTGTAAATTATCCTCAAAGGTCTGCAATTCCCAAAGCCCCACTTTTCTTGCGTTTAGACCTACCTGTTTTTCCTTGTTCTTTATGAAGGATTCGTTCCGCTCTCTGATCCAAGTAAGCGAGAACCAAGGCACAGATTAGTGAAAGAACACATGTTATACCTCCTATAATAGAAAAAATTTTTTAAAAGAAAGACGTTTTTAAAAGAGAATCAGACTGAAGGTTCCCAAGAGGCAGCACCTTACCTAACAGCAGAAAACTTAGCAACTAAAAGGGATAGCATCTAGACACATATAAGAAAATCCTACAGGTACTAAATCAGGACAAAAGAAAAGGAATAGCATGTGGTAAGAACTCAACAAACAACAGTCACTCTTACTAATATTATTTCCCAATAGAAGGTTAGAGACTAGAAGGAAAAGCCTAGAACATACTAGTCTAGGGTTATAAAGCAGAATACAGACTTAACAAAGTGGATGACCAACTAGCAAATCAGTACTAATTCCTTAACTCAGTCTAAGCACTGATTATTGACAGATGCCAGAGGGAAAAAATTATAAAAGCAAAGTCTGATTCTGTGATCATCTCATCTTCCTCTAGATTCCTTCCCAAGTCTGTAACCCTTGATCCTACCTACCCTCTGGCAGCCCAAAGGACCCACCCTCCCCACAGCACAGTTCACCCAGGCTCTCTTTCCTTTGCATACTCAGCATCACTAGCTAATGCTAATCTTATATTATTTAAGCAAATCAGGATAAAGAGTGAATAAAGTTTATACTTCTCAAGATTTTTAAAAACAAGATCAGTAAAATAAATGAATCTTTAATTTCATAATGTGGTCTAGCTGAAAATTGCTAAAATGAGAGTCAGTAGACATGGGTTCTACTTCTGCCACTAACAAGCTGAATGATCTTCAACACAGAACTTAATCTCTCAGAGCTTCAACTTCTATTTGTAAAATCAGAGGTTCTCATATTCTCCATTGTGGAGAGGACTAGAAGGAATCCCAAAGAGCATCTGAGAGTAAAAAAGAAGTTTTATTCTTTTTATTTTTATTTATTTATTTATTTTTTAAATATATGAAATTTATTGTCAAATTGGTTTCCATACAATGCCCAATGCTCATACCAAAAAATGCCCTCTTCAACACCCATCACCCACCCTACCCTCCCTCCCACCCCCCATCAAAAAAAGAAGTTTTAAATAAAGCATGGGATTTGGGAATGCAGGGAGGAAAAGAGGAATCCCTAGGTATAAGCTGCATGTCCAAGATTTCCTCTCCAATGCCCTCTTTCTACCAAGCTATTATCAAGGAATTATAAGGAATAAAAGATGGCACAGAATGTTCACCTCACCATCCCACAAGTCTCTGTAGGGCTCTGAAAGTGGATCTCTCACCCATCACTGGGCTCAGTTACAAAAATCTGCTGCTCAGAGAAAAAGCACAGGTGGTAACTCCAGAAGGCCTCATATGTTTCCCAGTGACCCACCAAGCAACCAGCATAACCCAAGCCTTAGCTAACGGAACTTAGGGCTAGAAGGGACCCACACAGCTTCGGTCAAACACTTGCAATTTTACAGAAAAGAAAGCTGAGACACAAAATTTAACTTCCTTGTCCAAGATGACAGAACTAGTTAGAGGCAGGACTAGAACCCAGACTCCTGACTCCCAACTTAGTGGACTTCCCACCATATGATGTTACCTCTGACTTCTATAAAATCTTAGCTCTATGGGTATACAATTGAATTTGATCAAAAGGAAGTAATTATCTCTCTGCTACAGACTAGTAACACCTTACAAGCATAAAGTGTCTGTTTTCAGAGTTTTCAGACACACTCTCTTATTTGCTCAGCATGACAACACTAAAGTAGACAAGGTGGGACAAGATCCTCCATTTTAAGTAAATGGAAAAGGTGAAGGATTCACTATTTCTAATTAGGTCCAAGAACCAGGGAACTGTTCAGGTAAAACTATAACCAAAGTGGCCTATCCCTGACTCCAGTGTTCTTCCCTCTCTGCCACAATACTTCCCATGACATGCTTTCAGAAGAGACAAAACGTGGGACATCAGGATCCACTCACCAATCAGAAGTGTGACCCCAAGGGTTGTGTGACCAGCAGAACCCAACGAAGCTTCAACCTTAGAATACAGCCATCCCATGAGGTTCATGTTTACTGTACTTCCCTGAAAGAAAAGGAAAAAATACGTAATTTTCACTTGTATATACTCTGCCTTGTTCCAAAAGGATGTGAGGTGGCTAGGAGAAACAGATAAAACAGGATTCAGATTAAATAAGAGATAGATTTTTTTTTTTAAACACTACTAGGAAAAAACTAACAAACTAAGATAAAGCCACAGATAAGATTACTGCACACACAAAAAAATGCCAGTTTATAGAAAATGCTAGTATGGAAAACAACACAATGCTAGAATTTCCTAGCAGCCAAAGCAAAAATGAAACACAATGAGTGACAAAATTCATACGGTACCTATGAATAAAATAAACTTTAGGGGCGCCTGGGTGGCGCAGTCGGTTAAGCGTCCGACTTCAGCCAGGTCACGATCTCGCGGTCCGTGAGTTCGAGCCCCGCGTCAGGCTCTGGGCTGATGGCTCAGAGCCTGGAGCCTGTTTCCGATTCTGTGTCTCCCTCTCTCTCTGCCCCTCCCCCGTTCATGCTCTGTCTCTCTCTGTCCCAAAAATAAATAAAAACGTTGAAAAAATAAATAAATAAACTTTAGCTCAGAAAAAGCACAGCTTTTACTGATATTGACATCTAAAAAAAAAAATCATCCTGTCCATAAGAAGACAGTAAAGGTTACAGAAATATAAAAATATAGAAAATATCATCTTCATTCACTTCTTCATTCAGCAATCACTGGGCCCTGATTGAACCAGTCACTACTCTAGATATTGCAAATATAATAAAGAATAAAACAGAAAAATCTCCAGCTCTCATAAAGCTTAGACTTCAGTGGGGTAGAAGAGGAAAATATGAAGTATATTAAATTATGAAAAGTACTTCTAAAAATAAGGAAAAAATACAGCAGGGAAGGAGAACAGAAATCTCACTGAGTAAAACTTGAGTTTTTTTTTTTTTTTTCCTTTGAGCAAAAACTTGAAGGAAGCTAGTTATCAGGTGAACTGGGAGGGACAGCATATTCAGGCAGAAGGAATAGCCAATAAGTGCACATGGCAACAGTAGGAAGGGCAGAGACTGGAACAGTGTAAGTGGACAAGAAAGAAAATGAGATGAGATCCCTGGAGAGGAAATGGTGGGGAGACAGGCTATAGGTTATAATATGGACTTTTGGCTTTTATTCTGTGTGAGATGGGAAGCCACTGCAGTTTTGAGTAGAGAAGTGGCAGGATTCCATACGTTTTAACAGACTTGCCCTGGCTGTTGTATTCAAAAGAGACTACAAGGGGTGATGAAGGCAGAAGTAAGGACAGGCATTAGACGGCTAGTGCAATAATCCAGAATGGAGATGAAGGGTCTTGGGACTAGGATGTCTAGCAGTGGGTATCATAAGAAGTGGTCAGAAAATAGATGAATTTTGATGGTAAAGCCATTCGGGTTTGCTATTGGAAAATGTGTGTTGAAGGGCAAGGAGTAATTTAATATAATATCTCAGGTTTTGACTGAGCAACTGGAAGAAAAGAGTTGCTCATAACTGAGGATGAGAAAACTACAGCATAAGCTGGTTTGGGGGATAACTGGTAGAAAAGCAACAGCTGGGTTTGGCCATGTCAGGTCTGGCATGCCTACTAGATATCTAAATGGAAATGTCAAGTAGGAAGTTGCATATAGGGGTGTGGAATTCAGGGGAAAGACCTGGACAAGTGATATAAATTCAGGAGCAAAGACATGCTATTTAAAAGTTCAAAACTAGGCCAACCATTAGAGACTCTTAAATACAGAGAATAAACTGAGGGTTGATGGAGGGGTGGGAGAGAGGGGAAAATGGGTGATGGGTACTGAGGAGGGCACTTGTTGGGATGAGCACTGAGTATTGTATGTAAGTGATGAATTACAGGAATCTACCCCCAAAACCAAGAGCACACTGTACACACTGTGTGTTAGCCAATTTGACAGATTATATTAAAAATAATAATAAATAAATAAAATGGTAAATAAATGCTATTGTTTGTATTTAAAAAAAAAAAGTTCAAAACTAGATAAGATCACCAAGGAGGAGTCAAAAGAAAAGAAAAGATGTCCAATAACCAAGCCCTGGGGCACTCCCACATTTACAAGTTGAGAAGACTGAGATGGAACCAGCAAAACATGCAGGAGTAGACAGTAAGGCAAGAGGGAAACTATGCAGTGTTCTGGAACCCAAGAGAAGAAATCAAGGTAAGGGGAATGTTAACTGTTTTAAATGCTGTTAATAGGTCAGACACTGAAGACAGAGAAATGAATATGTCCTCAACAATATTCTCACAGCAAATACAATAGCAAATTTCATATGGCTATTCATTTCTTTTTAATTTTTTTTAAAGTTTATTTATCTTGAGAAGGGGGGGCAAGGCACAAGCGGGGGAGGGGCAGAGAGGGAGAGAGAAAACCCCAAGTAGGGTCCGTTCTGTCAGCAAAGAGCCCCACATAGGGCTCAAACTCACGAACCGAGAGACCCAAGATCAAGACAGGATGCTCACCCAGGTGCCCTACACATGGCTACTTCTTACAGAATGCTAGCTTATGGCATTACTCAAATGAGCAACAACGTATAAATGGGTCATAGGTATAAAACTGGAAACTTTCCTAGAATTATAGTAGAAAATAAAAGCTTCTCAAAGTTAGGGATGTCACCTTAATAATCCTTTAATTCTAAAATGCTTAACACGACATGGCTTAGCAAGTACTCAATAAATATTTGTTGAAATAATGAGTTTAAAAGTAACACATTACAAATGAACATCAAAAGGGTGCCGAACTCCCAACCCCCAGTAAGAGATAAATAATAAAAATGAAAAGTCCACGGCCTGAAGGTGTAATGGTAACAGATCAAGTGTCCAAAACCAGACAAACTCAGCTCAGGCTACAGAAAAGGAGAAGTAAAGCCAGAACCTCTCTGACCATTCTGAATATGCACAAGGACAAGGGAAGTGCAAAAACACCAAAACTCCATCTACCCCAACAGCTCTGTAATGGAATCCTTTGGTCTCATGCATCTCACAAGGACCCTAAGTGCAGAAATCAGGTCAAAGCTGAGCCATTCTGGCTGAAGAAGAGGTGGCTGCTTGAGGTCTGGCTTGCTCCACCTCTTCCTCAGGTCCTCCCATTACTCCAATAACCCCCACCCTGCATCCTAGAAGCCCCTGAGATTCCTATCTAGAAACTGGGGGCTCCTCAGAATGCAGCTGGGAAAAGACTGCAGCTGAGTGGACTGCACAGAAAAGAACCTGAAGATCACTAGCAATCACACCGGTATCACAAAGATTGCATCTCACATCCTTGACAAGTTATTAGACAACAAGACCCACAAACTGCCACAGACATGTCTTGACGTGCACAAGATACATAATGAAGTACTCAGAATATCCTTGTGGATATTGTCTAAATATGGGAAACCATACTAAGTGAAATTACAAATTAAACTAATATTTAGGTGTTTCTAATCAATTTGATAAAATGACTTTTTAAAATTTTTTTAATGTTTTATTTATTTTTGAGAGTGGGAGCAGGGGAGGGACAGAGGGAGAGGGGAATAGAAGATCCGAAGCAGGCTCTGCTCTGAGAGCAGCAAGCCTGGTGAGAGGCTGGAACTCACAAATCCTGAGATCATGACCTGAGCCAAGGTCAGACACTCAATCAACTGAGCCACCCAGACGCCCCTAAAATGACTTTTTTTAATGTAATAATAGTCTATACTATCAAAGCTGTAATAAAAAGGATCCTTCCATATCCCATAAATGGGGATGTAAATATCACTGGAAGGATAATATGAGAATATGTCCTAACAAACCCTAACAAATCCTCTAGACTCAATTTCATTCCTAGCAACCTAATCTCAGGAAACAATCAGAGATGCAGGCAAGTTTTACGCAATGTCACACAACAACAGCACTGTTGATAGTGGTGAAAAATTAGAACTGAATACACAAAATCACAAAAATGTTCTATAGATTACACATACGTGTCATGTACTTCATATAATGAAGCAGTACATGAAAAACTTTTTGTATACTCGATTTCTTCTTTCCTAAGAATATATTACAAGCATTTTCATGCCATTTTTGGAACCTTGGTCTTTTGAACCTTGATTTTCAATGGCAAGGATTTTTTTAAAAACCTCCATTCATAGGAGTTTATGAGGGAAAAAAACCTAACAGGGTTTGGGACTGCCAAACACCTTATAGGTTGCACTAATAAAAGTATAACGTTTCCCATCAAACCAAACCTGAAACACCACGAATATTTCCAGGTTTCAAATGCTGGGAAAAGTATGACCACCTGCAGTAAGCCCAGGCAGGCGGGAGCACCATGGTCAGGGAGCTGAAACCCATGTCATGTGGCTTAGACAACCACAGGAAATGAGCACGTCTGACCAAGAACTTAAGAGCTGTCTTTACAAGAAAGGTCTGGTGCACAGTAGAGGAAATAAACATTAGCTGGAGGCCAAAAGTGGGAGCAATCAGAAAAAACTTGTGGAGGCAGATTTCATCTCTACATGAGATTGAACTTTATAAAGTTAACTGAAGTAGATGAGCTGCCCTATCATACAGCGAGCTTCCAATCACTGGAAATGTGCAAGGAGAATCTGGATGACCATATGTGAAGACTTTCATAGCAGGGATGCCAAAGGCAGGCAAAGAAATTAGATAACAAAACCTGTAAGATCTCTCCCAATGCTCAGATTCTTTGAACTAATGAAAACAAAATTAGTCTTTTTACACTGTTTTCTAAGTAAAATAAGGTTAGAAATGCCTTAATTAAAGGAAGGTAAATGCTATATTGTAGTCTAGAGAAATACAGAAAAAATCAATACCTAATTTATCAAGCAAAAACATACTTCATCCTGTTATTTTTAAGAGATAACTACAGGGGCACCTGGGTGGCTCAGCTGATTAAGCATCGACTTCAGCTCAGGTCATGATCTCGCAGTTTGTGAGTTTGAGCCCCCCGGCAGGCTCTGTGCTGACAGCTCAGAGCCTGGAGCCTACTTCGGATTCTGCGTCTCTGTCTCTCTCTGCCCCTCCGCTACTTGCACTCTATCTCTCTCTCAAAAATAAATAAACATTGGGGAGCCTGGGTGGCTCAGTCCAACTTCGGCTCAGGTCATGATCTCGAGGTCCGTGAGTTCGAGCCCCCGTCGGGCTCTGTGCTGACAGCTCGGAGCCTGGAGCCTGCTTCGGATTCTGTGTCTCCCTCTCTCTATGCCCCTCCCCCACTCATGCTATGTCTCTCTCTCTCTCTGTCAAAAATAAATAAACATTAAAAATAAATAAACATTAAAAAAAATTTTAAGTGTTTTTTTTTTAATGTTTATTTTTGAGAGAGACAGACAGAGTGTGAGTGGGGGGTGAGCAGACAGAGAGGGAGACACAGAATCCAAAGCAGGCTCCAAGCTCTGAGCTGTCAGTACAGAGCCCAACGTGGGGCTCAAACTCATGAACTGTGAGATCATGACATGGGCTGAAGTCGGATGCTTAATCGATTGAGCCACCCAAGTGCCCCTAAAAAAAAAAAAAAACAAATTTTTATGAGATAACTACAAGATTAAATCCCTTGCTTTGCATTTGGCTTCATTAGTTTGTCATACTTACAATTCTAGCCATGCTAAGTTGGAGTCCAAACACCAAGTTTAATTCTTTGCCTTTAAACCAACTCACAGCATATGTATTTTGGGCAACTGCTAAGGACTCCCCACCAATCCTAAAAATGAGGAAAGGAAGAAAAGTCACAGCTTTTACGGAAATACCACAATGAACAATCCAAGCTTAAATTTTTGACAACCCTGCTAATAAAAGATGGGATCTACGTTCCCACTCCTGAATCTAGGTGAGCTTGAGACGGCTTCAAGCAACGTAATATGGTGGAAATGGTGCTGTGTTCTCAAAGGTGACATCTGCCTTTTCACTCATTCACACTTGGAGGCCCTGAACCACCTGGTGTGAAGTCCAACTACCCTCAGTACACCATGCTATAAGAAAGCCAAGCCACACAGAGAGGCCACACTTAGGCACTCCATCCAGCAGTGCTAGTCTTCAGGTCATCCCAATGCCAGAACTAGACATATAAGTCAACAAGATTTCAGATGGTTCCAGCCCCCAACTTTACATGAATGTTTCTAGCTGAGGCTCCAGACATCAGGTGCATAGACAAGCCATCTATGCTGTATCCTGCCCAAACTCCTGATCCACAACGTTCACAAGCACATTGTAATTGCTGTATGACACTGGTAAATTTGGGGGAATGTGGTGTGCTGCAATAACAACCATGACCTGTAATAAAATATCCACCTATGCTATATAAAATGTCTATGTGGGAAGAGTGGTTCATACTTTGTGGAAACACAAAAATTCATTTTTCAGGCAAATCGCTTCCATATTCGACATTTTCCTATTTCCTGGGTTTTAACTTTCCCTTCTGTAAGTTCTACATATTGACCACGCCTCCTCTAGGCTTTCAGTTAGGAGATTCTCCTCCATATCCTAATACTGAACCCTTCTCGCTCTGTCCTAATCCAAAATTTTCCCTCTCTCTTCTACTAATCCAAATCCTATACTGATGCCAAAACATACTTCATGTCTGAGGCCATTTCTGACCACATTTCCATCTCTGAATCCCTTTCTTTTTTTATATACATTTTGTTTCCTTCTCTCTCACTTAGAGCACTTTGTCTACATATGGAATTGCCACATCAGTCTACATGTCTCCAGTACTTCTAAAAGCTTAAATAAGTTATGTCATTTGCATCCTCAGGGCAGGAAGCCCAAGGCTGGACTCAGAATGGAGTTACTGAACAGACACTGAAATTCATGAAGAATAATCAATCTATTGGTATTTTGCCCATTCAAGCCTCTTTAACAGGTTTCAAAAGGACCTGCACATTACCCACTAAGAAACAGCAAAATCACCAACCTACAAGTTGATGGTCTATACTTTTCTAAATGAGGTTTAAATCAGTCTTCAATACAACAAAAAACAAAACACTCAGCAAAAATATCATTTCTAGAGAACTATTTAAGATTCAAACCCCAGAGTTAACAATGACCACTCAAAATTGTTGCTTAGTTTAAAGGAAAAGTAACACAATAAACAGTCTTGTGTATATGTAGTTAGATTTCGAGGATTTGAGGTAATTCTCCAGAAGAGACAATAATAGATTTTTTTAAATCTTCAATAAATTGATAGGTGAACACTAAAACTATAATATATTAGAATGAATGAAATTACATATAACTTACCCAAACACAAACCTTCCAAATTCCATCAGCCAAAAAGCATTAAATATTCCACCCAGAGCAAAAACTACCTATAACGTAGAATATAACGTAGAATCAATGAAAAAGTGAATTTCAAGTATTCAAGAGAAATAAGTAACTTACAATGAATAACAACTTCTATAATGGTTTTAACATCCCTTCTCAGTAAATACGTGAAATTTAGATATTAATGTTCCTCTAGCTCAAGGCTTAAAATGGACCATGTATTATGCCACATGAGCATTTCTGGACCCTGCTTAATTAAGCCAGGCATTCAATAAACACATTTTTGCTGGTAGAATTAGACAAGAAGTCACTGTTAAATAAATAACAATGAATGTTTTGGATTTTCTTACCTGTCCAATGCAAACAAAGCAGCTAAAAATAATGGTGCCCCATCTGTTAGAGACAGAGAGAAAGAGAATGAATTAAGAGTATGTCACCAAGTCCTTCAGTAATAATTCACTTCAGTTTTCTTTACCCCCATACATTTCCTCCAAGGAAAGAAAAACAAAGTGCTGGTCTGCCTCTTAAGTCAGCAGCTTTCCCAGCTAAATACTAATCTACAGAAGTCTTGACTTCTAAGGAGATTCCAGAAGTTTTAGCAATGGCATATGTTAGTTTAAACCATTTTCATCTCTTAAACAAACAAAACTTGTTACATAATCTTTAATAAGTTCCCAGGGTTCCCACTTAAAAATGGACATTCTTTACAAAATTACTATCAATAGTTTAGAATTTATTACAAGATTAAGTAATTTTAAGTGGTTACAATTCCTGATAACTAAAACTATTTTTATCTTGTTTCCTGTTTGTGTTTTGTTTTGTTTTGTTCTTTTAGTATAGTTTGACCCAGTGTTATATGACTTTCAGGTATACAACACAGTGATTTCACAAGTTTATACATATGCTATGTTCACCACAAATACAGCTACCATCTGTCACCATACATCGCTATTACAATACCGTTGCCTATATACCCTATGGTGTGCCTTTTATTCCTGTAACTTATTCCTTCCATAATTAGAAGCCTTTATCTCCCACTCCCTTTAACCATTGTGGCCAACCCTCCAACCCCCTCCCCCCTGGCAACTATCAGTTTATTTTCTGTTTAGGTAAGATTTTGCTTTTTTTTTTGTTTATTTATTTGTCAGGTTTTTTTCTAGATTCCACGAGAGAAATCATATGGTATTTGTCCTTCTCTGTCTGATTTATTCCACTTAGTATAACTATTTTTAAAAGGACAAATATCAGCTAAGTTAATACAATTACAAATCGGCCTACTTACACATTCTACACTTTGAATATCTGATTAATGTTTCCCCAGAGTAATAAAACACCAGTATTATAACAGTCCCTAAAGATCCTATGAGGAAATCATACTTCTGAAACTCAAGTCCCTCTCAATCTACTGAATGTTCTCTAGCACTGGAAAACTTGCTATGGTCCCAATGCAATTCATGGTCCCTCATCAACCTTGACCAAGCAAAGTCTTCATCATAATAAGTAGAATCTGTCCCCCTGAAGTTTCATGCTAATTCCATCCCTTTACCAAGCAAAATAAATTTAATTTCTCCTTTATACTTAATCTTTCAAAATTTTTAAGTCCCCAAGTCTAAACACTTTTAGTCTCTTCAATCCTTTCCCATCAGATATGATTGGAAGATCCTTCATCATTTTCCACTCTGCCTCCTGAAAATATTCCCAGACTACATCCCCCTTAAAGTCTCCACTAACAATACATACATAATCCTAAGGATGAAAAGTGACAAAGCTTATTATGTTATTCCTTCCTCAGCCACAGAAGTGGCCACAAAAATTTCAATGCCCAAAGGCAGAAAGAGAAAATATCACTGGGACTCGGAGAGGCAAATACTACGTATGAGGCAAATACTACGTATGAGCCAAATGCCATACATGTATCTCTTTCAATCCTCATAACCACCCTGTAAAGCAGGAATTATTACCCATACTTTACCAATGAAGAACCTAAAGCTCAGGAAGCCAGGACAGCTCACAATAAGAAGTTGAGCAAGTGGCAGCAATGGGATTCAGACCTTGGTTTGCCTGGTCCCAAGTGAGGACATAATTTACACTTTTAGATAACTGAGTTACCATATTCCATTAGTAGCATTACTAGTCCCAACCTTAACTGAAATACCAACCAAATTTCAAAAGTCAATTCCAAGGACATAAAAAAAAAAAAATCATAAAATCATAGTCGGTACAGAATTTTATTCATTTCTTCCTAGAAATATTTTAACTAGTTCTGTGTTTTCCTAATAATATTTTACCCACAGGTGAGATGTTTTTCAAGCTTACCGTATTCCAAATACTCGGTCTATCAAAAAGCCACCAAAAAAACACAAAACTACATTGGGCCAAGAATACCAGGCATACAGCAGCATGAATCTCGTGGTATTCACCTGCATATCCTATATGAAAAGAAAATAAAACAATTTTTTTCCAAACAGTTAAGTTTAGCAACAAATCAAAACATTATTTTTGTGTAGGGCAGGCGTTTCTTAATCATTCGTAGTCACTAACTGCTTTGAGAAGCTCATGTCTGCTACGGCCCCTGCCTCAGAAAAAATGGTCACACGTGGGCTCCCTGGGAACTTCCTGGGTCCACATCCCTTTTCAGAGGCTTCATGGTGTCCAGGGTCAATTAGATCCCCCATTACTGGGACCACCTCCATCTGCATTTGCCTGTATCTTCTACACTCTTATTCCCATGATACTATCTGCATTGGTGCCCCCCACCAACACATGGAAAAAAATTATCTTAACCTATCCATACCCCTTCCAACTAACTTCTACCTTCTTTCCCTTTCGTTCTAGAATGTGAGGGGCAAATCTATTTCTTGCTGTCCAAAGACAGAAATCTAAATACACAAGAAAATAGGGGCTCCTGGGTGGCTCAGTTGGTTAAATGCCTGATTCTTGGTTTCAGCACAGGTCATTATCTCACAGTTTGTGAATTTAAGCCCCATATCAGGCTCTGTGCTGACAGCGTGGAGCCTGCTTGGGATTCTCTCTCTCCCCTTCTCTCTGCCCCTCCCCTGCTCTCCCTCTCTCAAAATAAATAAGTAAATTTTTAAAAATTAAATACACAAGAAAAGGGAAATATCAAATGTGTTTTTAAAAAACCAGACTAAAAATACTGACATGCAGAATCCTCTGCAATCAGCATCCACATTTAAAAAATGAAAGAACCAGGCGCCTGGGTGGCTTGGTCGGTTAAGTGTCCGACTTCGTTTCAGCTGGGGTCGTGATCTCACGGTTTGTGAGTTCCAGACCCACATGGGCCTCTGTGCTGACAGGATGGAGCCTACTTGGGATTCTCTCTCTCCTTCTCTCTCTGCCCCTCCCCTGCTCTCTTTCTCTCTCAAAATAAGTAATTTTTTTTAAAAATACACGAAAGAACAGGGGCACCTGGGTGGCTCAGTTGGCTAAGCATCCAACTTCAGCTCAGATCATGATCTCACAGCTCATGAGTTCCAGCCCCATGTCAGGCTCTGTGCTGACAGCTCAGAGCCTGGAGCCTGCTTCAGATTCTGTATCTCCCTCTCTCTCTCTGCCTCCCCCCACTCTGTCTCTCTCTTTCTCAAAAATAAATATTAAAGAAAAACTTTTTTAAGTGAAAGAACATAACAAAGACATATTTAAGAAAGTAAAAAGTTATTGCTACCAAATCATTTGCCATTCAGATGATTATGCAACTGGAAAGTGAAATGCAAACAAAAATCTGCTAATACTTTTTGGCATTTCTATGGAAATAGCACTTAATTATTTATTTAAAGTGTAAAACAACATCAAGCAACAAGTGCTATAAATGAAGTCTTTGTGGCCACTCATTCCAACTCAAGAACACTCCTTGCTACATATGGATTTGACTACAGATGTTAACATGGATTCAATGGACAATGTTTCAGACTAGGCAATCTGAGACCTGACCATGCCTCAACAACTATACTCATTCCAAAGCCAAGGAAAGAAAGGAGGTGAAAAGTCAACTTACCCGTTTGACTTGAGTCTGAAGAGCAGCAGGATTATCATAGCAAAAATAGCTGCCTAGAATAAAAAACAACAAATGTTTCATAGGTGATAATACTGCCCATACAGAAGTTTCAAGCTGCAAATACTACTCAAATGGTGATTTTCAATGTTTATATGAGGGGCTTAAGGATTAACACGGTGGACCACTTCCTTTCCACTAATATTTTTTTTTTTAATTTTTTTTTTCAACGTTTATTTATTTTTGGGACAGAGAGAGACAGAGCATGAACGGGGGAGGGGCAGAGAGAGAGGGAGACACAGAATCGGAAACAGGCTCCAGGCTCCGAGCCATCAGCCCAGAGCCCGACGCGGGGCTCGAACTCACGGACCGCGAGATCGTGACCTGGCTGAAGTCAGACGCTTAACCGACTGCGCCACCCAGGCGCCCCACCACTAATATTTTTTAAGTTGTAGCCAAACAATGCAGAGAAAACATGGCAAAACATTTACAAATTACTTATGTGCATATATAGCAAATATTGGGACCTTAGATTAAGAAGTTAATCAACAACTAATTGTTCTTCCATTTTACTATTATCATGCTCCATGTCTATTTTTTTTAGCATTTTCATGAAGCAGCTATATTTTCCATATTTAAAGCTACCAAAACACACACACAGTATCTAACAAACATCCTCAGCAGTTTCCTAATAATGCTACCTGAGTTCACCACTTACCATGAGAGCACAGGAATGGAGTTTAACTACTCTGTTTGTTTGAAGTAAGAATCTAACTCTGCAAACAGAATACCCAAGATCAAATAATTTAGTGAATACAGCACCAGGATTGAAGAAGAAACAGAGTTCTAAAACATTAAATTAAAACATGATGATAATGTCTGTATGGATATGAAAGAAGTGTAGAGAGGTTTGATATACATGCACTCAGATTTAAAGTAATATACCTAGGGGCATCTGGGTGGCTCAGTCGGTTAAGCATCTGACTCTTGATTTCAGCTCAGGTCATGATCTCATGGTTCTTGAGTTTAAGCACCGCACCCAGCTCTGTGCTGGTGGTGTGGAGCCTGCTTGGGATTCTCTCTCTCTCCCTACCTCTACCCCACTTACTCTTTCAAAATAAATAAACTTAAAAAATAAAAATAAAGTAATATAACTAACAGATTTTTAATGGGATACAAGATAATACTGAGTTCACTTCTTCACTTTCTAGAAGTACATATTAGAAGCTACCAGTTCAAAAGAAAGCAAATTATCAGTATAAAGATATGAATCTGGCTTCTGAAACCAGGCAGTTAACCATAATTTACCAAAAATAATCTGTCTACTTGAGTGGGGCAATTCTAAGTGTTTTGTATTGTTCTTCTTTTTGGTTTCTAAACCCAGCAAGTTGTGATTCCTGCTTTAACTGCGATAAAGGATACCAGTGTCATGCTTTAAAGCTTTGATGGGCACCATCTTTCCACAAAGTGTGGGGAGAGGGGTGAACAGAGTTACAAGGAAACTAAGGCCAAACCATCCTTCATGCCTGTTTACTATTCCAGCAGCAGCATTAAGCTATCCACCATAATAATGTTCTAAACCTGTCAATGACACCAGTTTTAGCCAATCCCTCCGCAAAACACATTATTACTTCCGTACCAAGCTGACATTAGAATGCTACGGAATACATCAGTTGCTGGAATACAAGATGTTTTAAAAATTATCTTAAGAAACTGCTTTCAGAGTCTTCAGATTTCGTAACTGAAACCAAATACCGCCAAGACACCACACACAAATCTACTCCAGTAGATTCACTAGTGGCAGAGCGGAAGAGTAACCACACATCTACTCACTGAAGCTATCACCCAGACACACTCCTACATGTTACCCAAAGATCGTGAGAAACAAACAATAGACTGCTAACGTATTATTTATTTAAAAGGCGGGTGGTGGGTGCTTACGGGTGGGTAAATCTTTTTGAATCCCTTCTTAACAAAAAGTATAACGACAGAAGCTTGGGCGACATAGGGATTCCTTCACATCTATGGCCCCAGGAGGCGAGCTGCTAGCCTCTGGGACTTCTTGCAAAGCAAAAGAGTGGGTCAAAACTCGCCCAGCTCAGTCCCCTGACTCCCACCAGCCAGATGCCGAAGAGCTGGCAACATCCACAGGCCTGAATTCGGTTGCGAACGGGGGGAGGGAGGGGCGCGAAAGGAAGCCAGAAGCTGCGCTGAGGCCGTGTGGCGGCTGTCAGCTCAGGGCGGATCTCCGGGCTCCGAGTGAAAATCGGAAATGTGTTGATTATCAGCCCCACCCTACCCAGCCAGTGGCTCACCGAAGCCTAGGAAGCACATCAGCAACAGCACCAAAAGCCGGTGCGCCAGGCGACTGGGGTCGCAAAGGGCCGGCAGCGCCCGGGGGACAGCGGGGACGGCCGAAGCACCTCTGCCAGCCTCACTGGGGCTGCCTTCCAGCAGCGCCCGCGCTTCCTCATCGTCCTCTCCCATGGAACCGGGGAAATATCGACGCTAGAGTGGTAACTCCGAGATAAAGCTCCGCGGCCAAAAGCCCAGTGAAGAATGTGCTCACTGCGATAGCTCACGTGACACCGCGGCAGGTCACGTGGAGCTACGCTCACGTGAACCGCCCTGATCACATGGTGGGCAGAACTGGCCTGGTAGGAAACGAAGAGGTGGGGTTTTCGCCGCTCCTTTTCCCCCGGGGAGCTGTGTGAGGTGCTCAGCTCCGGCCTTCTACCACAGGCAGCGCTATCTTTTTGTTTCCTGCCCTGCTGTTGTTGCAGACTCTGCGCAGCTCCACCGGGAGATAGTGCGGGACTTGCATCCAGTTCGATGCCAGGCTTCTCCTGCGTGATCGGATGTGGGCTGGAGACACGAAAAGAGGAGCCAACCTTCTCGCAGCATTGCTTTCCGCAGCCACTTTGGCTGCTCTTAATACTCACATACTTGATTGAGCGCCTAATGATGTGCCGTGACATGCCAGGTACTGGGAATACAAAATGTAATGAGACAAGCTCTTGGACCTCAAGGTGTTTACGGTTTAGTTGGAGATAGTGCCAAATACTGGTACTTTAAAAAACTAGAGGAATGGATGAATGTGATGAGAACAGTGGCTGAAATAAGCCCTGAATTTTGTTGAAATGCCCAGGAAGGGCGTTTGGGAAAGGAGAACAGGTGCACAGTTTAACTAGTTTTGGAGAAAGTGGCCATAGGGGGAGTGGGAAAATGCTGAAGCTACTTGAAGGTGGTGTCTAAACTAGTATTGGTAAAAATGAGCCAGTAGTGCTGCCGGTTCCAGGGAATGGGTTACTGGGAGGTAAGGGATGGGCAGTAGGGATAATAACGTTGCAAAAATGAAACAGAACTAGGTGTGTGTGTGTGTGTGTGTGTGTGTGTGTGTGTGTGCGCGCGCGCGCGCGCGCGCGCGCCCGCGCGCGTGTGTGCGTGTGAGAGAGAGAGAGAGTGAGTGTGTGTTACTTTGGGATTAAGGGAGAAGGAACTCAAGAGAAGGGACACTGAACCTGTTGCATGAAGAGCCATGCAAAGTTTTCTAGCAGAATAGCAAGGATACAAGATTGGTGTTTTTAAAAAATCAACCTGGCAACATCACTCAGTCTTAACCCCCGCCCCCTTTTTGCATGTCTCCAGGCTTTGCAAAAAGAATTTTGAGGATGACAATCCTAGAGGTATAGTTACAGTGAGGATTACTAGGTATTAGGAAGATTAGAAAGAGGTGGCAAGGGCCTACAATGGGGACATACGGATAGAGCAAAGAAGACAGAATAAGTATTTAGGAGGTGAAATCGGGATGACTTTGTGAATAATAGCATATGAGGTCTGAAAGAAAGGAAGGACTGGAGAATGTCTCCTGCATATCCAGCATAGGCCCCAAATAGAGATCCAAAGTAAGAAGAGAAGAGAGTGAAGGAGAGTATCATAGGAGATAGATCCGTTTGGAACTTGTTGCCTTGGAGATAGCTGTACATGAGGCCTCCACTTAACACCTCCCAGTCTCTCTTCAGTTCCAAAAAAGGAGCCCCCAGTCTAATGAAACTGTCTTGCCAAGATGACTAACAGCTCTCATCTTCCCAACTACAGTGGTCAATTCTCTGTCATCATCTCACTTGACTTCTCAGCATCCGTTGATGCAGTTGGCAGTCTCCTTCTTTGACACTACATTTGCCTTGTTTTCCTACTAGTCCACCGGGCTCTCATTTGCTGTTTCATTTGTCACCTCCTCTTCTTCAGCTTGAATTCTAAATTTTCGAGTGCTCCAAGACTCAGTCCTGGGCTCTCTTTCTCTCATCCAATCCCATAGCTTGAAAGATCATCACTATCTCTGTGCTGGTCATTAAGTAGCCATCACTGTGTATGGCTATTTAGCATTTGAAGTGTGGCTATCTAATTAAGATGTACTGTACCTGTAAAATACACACCAGACTTCCAAAACTTAGTATGAAAAAATATATATATATCTTGTTAATTTTTATACTGATTACATGTTGAAATGATAACAGACATATATTGGGTCAAATAATACAATTTTACCTTTTTTAATATGACTGCTAGAAAATTTTAAATTGTGTATGTTGTTTACACACATATATGTATACGGAGAGAGAGAGAGGAAATGTGGTAAAATGTTAACATTTAGGGGATCTTGGTTCCAGATATATGGAAATTCTTTGTATTAGTGTTACAAGTTTTCTGAGTCATATTACTGTATGACCTTTTACTAGTCAAGTAATTTGACTTACTTTATAATTATCAAGTGATGGAAAAATAAGAATGAGGGCATAGACACAGTTGGACTGGCCAGCCATTTTCATTGGTGTGGGGATGGCTGCAGTCTTCAGAGTAAAGTTAGCCCCACAGAAAGAAGAGAGGATAGAGTTTTCTCAAAATCTTAAGGTCCAGATTCAGCCTTCACATGCCTTTACTTCTTACCACTCCTCCAGAGGGCTGTGTGGTTCAGAATATTCCTCTTACCTCCATCTTATGTGGAAGCCAAGCTGGAAATCCCATAGTCCCTTTCAGTGCCTTCTTTCCCTCACAGTGTGAGTTTCTAATGTGGGACAAGAGTGAAGAGTGTCTAGTTCTGCTTGGGAGCCCAAAAGCAGTAATAAGTGAGCTTGATCTCTTAACCCCCCTGTTAAAGTATTTACAGCAAAAAGCAAAAGCAACACCATATACAAAGACTAAGAAAGGGATACAAAATCACATCAACTGCCGTATCAGCTTCATTATATTCTATGTGGAAGATGTGTAAATGAAAGCTTTGGAAGTCTGGTAAAAAATAACTACATTGATTTAAACCATGGGACTAAGTAGCATAAGATAAAATTGCTCTTATATTTTAGAGCTGAATTGGCAAAACTACTGGCCCAGATAATGGGGAGGCACCCACTAGGAGGTCTGGGGGAGCCTTGGCTAATTCATCTACTAATCATTCTTTAGCTGCTTCCTTTAGCTTTTTGGGTTTTTTTTGTTGTTTTTTAGGGTATTTTGGGGCTTTACCATTTGTGGTCTGAGAATCTGTGTCTCCCACACATTTTGGTACCTGCCTTTGACTGTCTCCAGTGTAGAGAAAGCTCTTCCTCACCTTTCAACTCTGGGACTCCAGTGTTGCTGTTTTTCATTCATTAACATTTCTCTCAGCAATGGATTGCAAAGCAGTCCATTCCCAATATCTACTTCCTTTGTCCAGAATAAAAAAGTTGAAATGATGTTCTTCCTTAAGCATGATTTTAAAAGTTGATTGAAACAGAAATGATTTTTCAGTGAGAAAAGATACGCAGTATGTGACGTGGACTCATTGCACGTTTCTGCACCTTAATTTTTCCATCAGTAAAAATCATGTTTGTGCCCTGCATACTTTATTTGAATGTCAAGGTGACTGTGAGAATTTTAAGCATGTTAACGTCTTCATATGGAAAAAATATGAATGACAATGAGCAGTAAATACTAATCTTAATGTTTTTTAGATACAGAGTCTTGCATTTAAAATAATTAAAGCCTAGGGGTGCCTGGATGGCCCAGTCGATTAAGCCTCCCACTCTGGATTTTGGCTAAGGTCATGATCTCACAGTTGGTGAGATCAAGCCTCGCATCGAGCTCTGTGCTGGCAGCGTGGAGCCTGCTTGGGGTTCTTTCTCCCCCTCTCTCTGCCCCTCCTCCATTTGTGCACACATGTGCACGCTCTCTCTCTCAAAATAAATATTTTAAAAATAATAATAAAATCATAAAATAACCAAAGCCAAACAGTAGTCTTCATGGATCTGACCCTCTGTGGTCAAACTTTTTTAAAAGATCTGAAAGCATGCTTACATGCTCAATAAATAATGTTTTTTGGGGGTTTTTTTTTGTTTTTTTTTATTTTTTTTTAATGTTTATTCATTTTTTGAGAGAGATACAGAGCATGAGCAGGGGAGGGGCAGAGAGAGAGGGAGACACAGAATCCAAAGTGGGCTCCAGGCTCTGAGCTGTCAGCACAGAGCCCGACGCGGGGCTTGAACCCACGAACCATGAGATCATGACCTGAGCCGAAGTCAGACACTTAACCGACTGAGCCACCCAGGCGCCCCAATAATGTTTTTTATCATATAGGAGAACACCTAGAAAGTGTTTAGATTTTATTACCTCCGATGGAAGAATTCTGTTGTTTTCCTCATTTGTTTATGGCAAATTTGAGTCCTGAAAGAGCAGAATACATAATTCACTGGGGCTTCAACACAAATTAGTAAGTAAACAAAAATTAGATAGTAAATTGCTATCTTGAAAGAACTGGTTAAAAAAAAAGGAGAGATTACAAAAGCTACTGTGTTAATATTTATGGCTATTCCACTGAATGAATATATTTATTACAAATATAAAAATTATAGGGGCGCCTGGGTGGCGCAGTCGGTTAAGCGTCCGACTTCAGCCAGGTCACGATCTCGTGGTCCGTGAGTTCGAGCCCCGCGTCAGGCTCTGGGCTGATGGCTCAGAGCCTGGAGCCTGTTTCCGATTCTGTGTCTCCCTCTCTCTCTGACCCTCCCCCGTTCATGCTCTGTCTCTCTCTGTCCCAAAAATAAATAAACGTTGAAAAAAAAAAACAAATATAAAAATTATAGAAATATTGGAAATATATGAGGCAATATGACAAAACAATAATAAAGAGAAATGCAATAAAGAATAACAAGATAAGAGGAAAAGATAAGAAATTAATAACAACAAAACCAGCCCCATGGAAAAACAGCATTAGAAAGTAAAGATGAGCATGCCCCTAAAGAAGCACAAGAGATTTCTTACCGGGAAAATTAGAAAATGGAAAGGAGAGGGCTCTTACACTAAGAGGTCAGAGCCACTGACCCTCAGATCCCAGTGTGACTGTTAGAGCTGCATGTGCATGAGTGTGAAGTGTTAAGAGTAAATATATGTTTCTATTCACATGAAGACCCTCAATTGGGTACATTCTTATTATGTTTTGAAAACTAATTAAAGAGAAGGGACCTCCCCTTAAGATACGAAATTCGTAAGTATGTCAGGATGAAGAGGAGAAAGGCTGGCATATTGGGAACACAGATAGGTACCATGCCCAAGATGAGAGACCATCCCA